TGTATTCTTTTATCGTAGTCCCCTATACCTCTGTGTTTTTTTTTTTAGTTTGTTTGTTTTTTCTGATTTTGCTTCTTGATAAGCGGGTAGCCGCCAGCCGATGAACAATGGAAAAAAAGTCCTTAGTGAGTTAAGGACCCTGAGGGAGGCCAAAAGCTACTGAGGGAGGTTGTACCTGATATATAAAATCATGTAGATGAGTTCTTTGTTTGGTTAGATCTTCTATAGTTAGAGATTAATTACATGTAATTTTACGTGAAATTTTGAATAACTTGATCCCAAATAAACAAAAGCAGTATAGCTGAATTAGAAAAAAAAAATTACAAGATATATATTATTCTTAAAAAACTTACTTTACTTTAACTAAACATTTCTTAAATGCTATATGTTTTTTCTTGATTATACAAAATGACTAATTTTAATTGATCAAATCCTGTGATAATCTTCTTATAAAATTTTTTTTAAATACTTATATCTTATTAAATACTTAACCAATCTTAATGATTTTACTATCATTAGAATCAGAAAAATATGCTTTATAATTTTTTTTTTTTTTTTTTTTTTTGGTATTAAGGTGAGATTTTGCCTATGACTTTATTTATTAATAATACTTTATATGTATTATCACATTTTTCATATTATATATATCAAGTACACTAAGCTCAGACCCGGATCCTATTGGTAACCTATGCTTTGGCTGAAACCATTACTTGTGTGATAGGTGTCCCCATCTGCTACTGGCTACTGATCCAATTATCTGCGATCCAAACCTACCAGAGTAGTACGTCCGCTTTACAATTTTTATTTAATACTTAAAAACAATTAACTTAATAAAAAAACTTGTAATTTAAAATATACCATCAAGTTTATATATAATTTTAAAATAGTATATCCTATCCTTAAATTAAAGCTTAGAAGTTATGAAGTTGATGATTTATGTGATTTGATGCATATTATAGAGCAATTAACTACTAGTAGATACAATCAAGCAGATATGGTTATTAGCTATAATGGATTTCAAAGAATTATATTTTATGATTGAGCAAAATTTTTAGACAAATTTTATACATCAATTCCATCTCTTCTTAAACAACATCATTTCACTATATCAAGCAAAAATCAGGAAAAGTAGAGACAAGAGCACATGTTGATAGAAATATAACTCAGATTTCAATTGCATGGATAAGTATGATTCCATGAGCTGAAATTAGGGCTTTAATTCTTCCAGAAGTAATTACAGTACATGATATTAGTTTAGAATGTGAATGATACTTATATAATCAAGTAGCATAGCACATTTAAAATCTATTAAAACGTGATATTTACTGTGCAAAGCCTACCATTCCCAAACTAAAAAAATCAAAAAATTAAATATTTCACTTTATTATTTCAGATATTTATAAATAATTAAAATTACAATATACAAGCAAGAGATACTAATAAATAAACTCTAATTAATCTTTTATATCAAAAATTTAGGTTAATATTTACAACTAAAATAATGACAAATCAATCTTTGAATTATTCTTATTAAAGCTTTCTTGACTATTTCTATTTCGTTACTTTTATTTTGATCAGTTTCAATCTAAAGATTATTAAATATAAATATAAGGCATCCAATACCAAAACAAAATTACTATTTAATGAACCTTTTGGCAAAAATAGTTTACCAAAATTTACTTTGAAATTTGTGTAATAAGAAAACACACTATTGCAGTTATGAAGATTAAAAGCACTGATAAAATTCTCAATAGATATAATCTTACTAGATGGGATAAAACTGTTAGAGACCATAAGAGTTGCAATAAAAACCTTATTTTTTCAAATTTTTTTTTTTAAAATTAAAAATATACTTCACTTTTAAACTTATATTGAAATCTAGTGCAATATAGCTACTAAAGTTTAAAAATCCTGCATCATTATTTATTATTATCTCATTTTTAATATTTTTTTTTTTTTTAGAATTACTATATTATATCAATGTGTTTAATCAATGTTAAATCGGTAATAATAAAGTTGCCTTTTGGTTAGTGATTACTTTTCGCTGTGCGGACTGTACAAGCACATATACAAAAGTTTGCTCTTATTTTCTCTTGAACAGATGTGTAGGTGCTGCACAGAAAAACTAACATTTTATAGCATGCATATTTGTAAACAATTACTTATATAAAAAACTCTCTCCGGTTTACCCCTAAAAATATAGTAAAATAACAAAACAAAGAAAAAGCAAGTTCATAAGATACTCAGTAACGTTTAGACAAACTTAAATATTAAGCACAAACTGCCTTTATTGGTAAGCATCAGCAACAGGACAAAATTAAGAGAAATACAAATACCAACACCTCAACTACAACTACAACTTCCTAAAAACCATTGCCAACAATGTCGGCAATACAAGAAAACAACATATATAGACAAGCTCCTGCACACCAACATACAGAACCCTACAATACAAAAAGAGCTAAAACTACTCATGCTGCAGTTGCACCACTCAATACTATTACTGACCCTTGGAAGGAATTTGGGGAACTGGGTTTCTCTTCTACAAATATGGATCCAACCTTACTACTAAGCAAAAACAAAACAAATTTAATTTCAGGAAGTTCCCGCACTAGTAACCCAATACCAACTTTCCCATGTCTATCAGAACACACAAATTCATCCATGGAACTGGATCACGACAAACAGAATCTTCCAGAACTGATACTCAACACAGTTGTTCCACAGAATAAACACCCAAGTCTAACTTACACCACCAATATTAACTCATTTCGCCTAAACAGAACAAACGACAATGATGCAATAGAAGCAGAAAATAGTAACAATAACAAACAAGAAAACTTATCTTCAAATCAAAGATCATATAGTCAAGTTCTTACAGCAGATATTTCTAAACAGATTTCCTCCAAAGAGGATAAAACCACATTATGGTCAAATACAATAGCAAAGGCATTAGAACAAAGAAAAGATAAATACTTCGATACACAGGACTGGAACATAAACAGAATAACAGAAGCTTTCCAAACAACAAAAATGCTGACCGAATTCTTATGACACAAAGTTCAAACAATACCTACCAAATTTTCTATTCCAAAAGCAATACAACTCAAATTTAAATACCGAGACACAGCATTTTTCTGCTCTTTCTCTCGCAATTCCCTAACTAAACCACAGCACCAGTTAGAATTTAACGCCTTTTTCAAACAAGCATTAGACAAATACAAGAAACAACATAATGTTTTAATCACAAATAAGAACAATCGTGATCAAATTTTTGCTAAGCTAAGAATAAAACTTGCAATTGACGACCTCACTAACATGGAATTGCTAAAACAAAATGCTCAGGAATCTACTTGTATGATCTTTTATCTATTGGGCTTTGCCAACATAGAAAATAAAATCGCATTTGAAGAAGTCAGGAGTATAATCAGACAAGTTTTGACTGAACACCTCACTCCGCTACCTATATCCCCTGATATGATTACAAAAGATATCAAAGATATTTTACCTTTTAAACTACCAATCAATGATCAACATCATACCAGAGCAATCGTAATAGCACTCAGGAAAATCTTTACCTTTATAAAACTCCCAGAATCTTATTTTGTAGAAAACAGAATTCCACTACCTGAAAACTTAAAGAAACTTCACCCTGCAGTTAGGGATTTATTTTCAATTACTAAACGATCAGAACTACATTTTCTATCAGAATACCGTAAAAAATTATCAGTCTACTACACCTTTACTAAAATGCATCTGACCTATTTTAATCTGCCAGACCCTAAGCCTGCTTTACCTTGCACACCGCAAGAATTAAACCCACGAATTAGATGTCTTTTTCCTTTTCTCCCTAAGGATGCAAATGACTTTAAACAGCATATTGAAATACTTAGAAAATACTACAACTTCAAAAAGCTACCAAATGACTTCATTACTGCAAAGAAAAAGCTACCTGTTGACCCTACAGCACTAAAACTTACAAATAAATATGACTTTTCAATTAAGAATAAGACACTGGCAGAATAATTTATTGCAGAAATAGGATCTCAATACTCTATCACTATACCATTACCAGTTACTTATATGACTGTAAACCCCACTAACAAACCGGATCTACCATGGGATCCACAAAAAATCTCTGAAATAAACTTAACACTTCCAATAAGCACACCAAGACAGCTTGCCTTTACAATAAGAGAACTTCACAAACATTACTTCTTTTATACCCTTCCGCAAAATTAGATCGATATATCAAAGAATAAAACACAAACAGCAGTTTACAAGCCTAGCTTGCCAGACAACTTAGAAACATTTAATACAATGATCACTAAAAATAAGATCTCTATCACTACACAATTTCCTATCAATAGCTATAATAATCTACCAGAAGCTATCAAATCACTTCAAGAAAATTTCAACTTCAATGTAATTCCTCAATACTTACTTAACCTACCCGATCTACCTATACCAAGTTGGGACATCTTCGACGAAGAAATAGATGTACCTAATCCAGAAATAGAGATAATCTAATGAGTGATATAGAAGAATATCCAACCAGCCATTCTCTCCCAAAACAACCATCAATAGACACATCAAAAAACATAAAATAACAAATTAATATTGCAACACACAATGTACAGGGATTAAATAACCAGCTCAAATTACAGAATTGGCTAGAATTTTGCAAAGAAAACAAGCTCCATATCATCTCCATGACCGAAACTAAATTTAGAATGACAACACATTTACTTTATCTAATCCATTTTATAAGATCTATACATCAAACTATATCCCTAAAGACACACAATCTAGAGAAGCAAGCCTCAGTACCGCTATTGCGATTCATCTGTGTCTCCAACCACATATACATAATATACTTACATTCCCAGAAACAGCAATTCTTATTGATTTCCAATTTCTAGAAAAAAACAGACTAAGACTTATCTCAATATATCTACCATCAAATCGACCAAATTTAAATCAAGAAACGCAACAAAAGATTACCTTCTGGATAACTGAAGCGAAATCCCAGAATTGGCACACAATAATCCTGGGAGACTTCAATACAAATAGCCACAGAAAAGGGAAGTATGCAGCAATAATACCAACCCTAAATTCTTTAGATATGACAAGCCTCCTAGAACTAAACGCAATTACAGAACCTACATGGAAGCGAAATGAGTTGAATAGTCAGATCAATGATATATGGACAAACACAGATATAGCCCTAGACTTTACTATATCTGAACTAATAGAAGCAAGCAAAATTACGGATAGTGATCACATGATAATTAAAACTTCCTGGTATACAAACTTTTCTATATGCATGACCAGAGCTAAAAAAAAAAAACAAAAAGTTTTTTTATGGGACAAAACAACAAAGACAAATTGGGAAAATCTCGCAGAACACATCTCAGCCCAACTAAACAACGAAGCTACGCAAAATATCCTAAGCGACACGACATCATTAAACAAACTTTGGCATATATAGAACTCAGTAATTAAGACAGCGGCAAACAAGTTTATCCTTTTCTCATACATAGCCCCTAAACCATTTTATGCATTATTGCTAAAGGAAACAAAATTACATATAGCATTAAAAAATATAAAAAAAATGATTACAATTATCAAAAGATTTTCCACACCCTTATCCCTTACATACACTATAGAACTATTAGAGAAAAAGACGACCAAAATTGAAAACCTTACAGATATTAAATTAGAGAAAATTACAGAAAAAAAAATAATACGAAATAAACAAGCAATATTAAGAGACCTAAACAACAAGAAGAAAACTATCTGGAAGGCAAAAAACCTAGAAAAACAACTAGAGCGAAAAGAAAAAATAGATTTTACATTAGAAGACGACATGATGACATAGAAAATAATACTACACGATGATTGACAGCATACTTAAACGTAAGAATGAATGAATAAACTTTGATAAGATAATACAACAGGACGAAGTCATAACAATACCTAAAGAAATAAAAGAAGCAACGAGAGAACATTACAAAAATTGGACTAGATTTACACCAACAAAAGAAGAATATTAGATTGAGTAGCAAACCTATTACCAACCTTTGCCCAATATTCCTCCAAAGGTATACGATACACTAACTAACCCCATTACACGGGAAGAGCTTACAGCAAGTATACAAAACTCTCCTAATAACAAAGCACCCGGTCCTTCCGGAATTTCCAATGAACTTCTTAAACATCTCCCTAATGTAGCTCTTAACACGTTAACTAATATATTTAATGCATGCTTGAGGTTACAAGAAGTCCCAAAACTTTGGGGACAATCCAACATATGGCCTATCCCAAAAAAGGCGCATTATAACAATGATCTTAATTATACAAGACCTATTACGTTAATTAAACATATGAGGAAAATTTTTACAAAAATCTTCATATCAAGATTGAACAAAACCCTACTTCATTACTCGATACTCTTTCCCCTTAATTTTGCAACACTCCCATTTCAATCAACTTTCCAGCCAATACAACAACTGTCCAATATAATCGAGGATGCTAAAGTTAACAACAAAGAAATCTGGATTTTAATGCAAGACATGGCGAAGGCTTTTGACTCTATACATATTCCACTTCTAGCTAAAGCACTTAAACGATTAAAAATTCCATCACAATTTATCAACATCATAGTCTTTTTGCTCTCGCATCGTACTAACCAAATAATCACTGATATTAGACTCACTAAACCATACAAGATAAACGATGGAATTGACTAAGGGGAGCCTCTATCTCCAATCTTATGAAGAATATATTATGATTCATTAATTGAACGAATTGACAAAACCTTTCCTGGATATACAATATATATAAACAAATCGATTTCAATATCTGTTAACACTTCGGTATTAGCATATATGGATGATACGACATGGTTAGCCCCTAACAAAGAAACACTAGAACAAATATTACTAATAGCAAACTCATTCTATAGATTGACAAACGATAAAAATCAACCCAGCCAAATCCGTATTAGTAACCAACTCTACAACGAACAATCCCACAATCACTTTTCAGAATAT